TACAATGTTACATAAAACTTCTTGCACTAGTACTAGGTTAGATGGAATATGCATGTTGTGCCAATTGAGCATTAAGGCTAAAGATGTTAGAAACCAAGAGAGTGTTCATTCGACTATAATGCTTGGTTCGTATCAGTTTCACATCGTCAAATTCAAAATCTAAAGCATTGATCCAAATTTCAACCTCAGCTAGTAGATACTACATAAATCAATGATTCAGTAAGTTATAAATTTTATCATTTATGATTTTTTATTAATTTGTTAATTTTAATTATATGATATTAATACTAATAACCTTGTTAATATTTTGGAATGGAGCTTGGCCACTTTATCGTTCGTTGAGAATATATTGGCTGGCGGATTTTATTAGAGTATTGATGTTTGAAAAAAAGCAATGATCAGAATACACATCATATTCTCTAGGTCATCTGCTGTAGCAAGCAACAATAGTCAATCTAGACCAGTATCGATTTTTGCACTATAAGTTCATTTATTTAGACTGCCTAGACCAATCAGGTTATTTGTGCTAGTTCCATCCTAACTCCCATCAACATTGGCACTTCCAAGCCCGTTCATGCTTGCTTTATCTCCAATCGCATTGACATCAACACCTCTCAGCTCGTTTGTGCTTACACCATCCTCACCACTAGCAACAATGGCCATAGTACCATCTTTGCTCAGCTCTTCTCCTCCAACGAAGATTATAGTATCAACCCTGCTAAAAAGTTCCATACAGACAGCATAACCCATTCATCTTCTGCGTGTATATCTTCGAGTTAAGGGGTAAAAGGATAGGGATTGATATATTTATTATTATGTATCGATACTTTATGTAGATACTGATTTTATATTTAGTTAATTATGTTTATATTTAGTTTATATTTATAAAATATTCATTAGATTATTATCTGTTCAATATGACACATCCCATTAGATAACATGTTCAATATAAAATATAAACAAATATATAAAGTATAAACATTAATATAAATTGTTAACAATTATTACAAAAAAAAAAATCAACAATGTGTACTATTTTTTAAATGGCTATATCAGAATTTGTATTAAACAATAATTTGAAATCTTCTATGTAGGGTACATATGGAATCCCATACCCTCTAGCATAATTATATCAAATCTTGTGATAATTGCATACAATATGAGGTATTAATGAGAATGGCTTAATTAACACCTACATAAAATAGGAATATTATTTATATAGTGTCATTAACACTTGTATACAATATGAAAAATAAATATAAATAATAAATGACAACACCAATTAACAATACCTGCACAAAATGACAATCATTAACAAATCCAATCGTAATTAATTTGTGCTCCAATTGTGCAGGTGATACAAATCTAATAGGGAGATATATTAGGCATTATCTTTGACTGATGTGGACTAGCATGATGTTATATAAGGAGGCAATTAATTGACCTATACCAGATAGGTTATCCACTTATCATATGAGACAGAAATGTCAAAACACAATAAGATTTGTAACAATTTCTCAACACACACCATGAATCCATAATAAGTCACATAATTACCTCAAAACCAATTAAGCTATTCAGTTAAATCTCATCACACATGTACCTAACATCTAATCCCAATCCAAGAAATCCAGTAATAGAATAAAAACCATAGTGTCTATCCGCCTCAACATCAACGATGCTTTGTATATACGGATCTAACTCCATTAGTAAACTATCCAAATATTACATTTTTTGTTTATCATAGTGTTGATGAATAGGAAGTTTAGTGATCTATGTCATCAATTTCATTGAGTTTGCAATGGTTAGTAGTTATGTATTTATCTAGAGCTGATAACATAATCTCTTAATGTGACAATCACATTATGTAAAGGTATCTGCTTTTATAGCTCCGCGACCTTTTGGCATAACCATCTTTAATGGTGGCATTAAGATATTTGTGAACGGATCACCAAGTTCTTGTAATTTTTTTCATAGCCAACTTACCGAACTTATCACATTCATTGAAACGTTTTATGATTCGGTCAATCTCAAATTGAATTGTTAACTCTTTAGATATTTCATTATCTTGGCTCTTCATTTAATCCAACTTCTTCCAATAAAAAAGCATTTGAGATAAAAAAAATTGGACTTCTCACCCTTATATGCTCTACAACTTCATCACAAGGTAATCCATGCATGCTTTTAATCATTCAACCACAAGTAGTTGCATCAATCCTAACATAATTAGCTTGCTTGACCTCCATCAATATAATATTCAATGCGTTTCTAGATACCAAACCTTGTCACTTTGTAAATAATGAAAACTTGAAATTATGTTTAACAATGATAAGACTTCGCTCAAATGAAGCCTTGATCCCTGTATGTCAAAGCTCAATAAGTGCGTTAATTGTCTTTCATGATTATTTGAAATTCTTCTGAGATGATCCAAGGTTTCTTTTTAATTTTGAATGTACACTATCGCCTTAAACAAAATAATAAAGATATATTAATAATTTGTTATAAAACACTAAAGACCATAGCAATCTTAACAATGCAACATAAATCATACATTTTTGTTGTAACATTGTCAAAGTGCATTACTTTATCCATCCAAGCAATAATAAATCTATCATTATACTTTGCCAACCACTAATGTTTCACACACTTTAGTGCACCTAGATAAGTTTAGTAATCATTTCTAATAAGTTTGGATGCCTTTCATACTCAACATAGGTAGATGAATACACTAGTAGACTCCAACCAAACATGAATGCCTCACATTTCTCTTTTTGCTCAAAAAACTTCTTATAATTCACAAGCATATTTCTTGAGATATTCAATCTACAAAAAAAATTAATCGTGCTTAGAAACACTACCTCTATGGCATTCATCACTATCAACTCTTTATCAATAACAATAACAATAAAAAATTTACTAGTAATTATGAAATTTTTTAACTGTACTAGTGCTCATATGTAATTCTCAAAATGCTCAACCTTCATATACAAAAATATAACAAAAAATGTCATCTCAATAAAAGTCACACCAACAATTTTAAGTAGTGGCATATGGTACCTATTCGTTTTATAAGTGCAATCCATAATCAAGACATTTAGGAAGGCTTGCAATAACTCAATACTAGTAGGATGAGCCTAGAATAAGTCTTTTACATAGTCACTTGACTTATCAGTCTATGCCACTCTAAGTATTTACAATCACTCAACTTCTTTATGAATTGTTGCATTTGTGATTGACTAACTTTCTCTACATATTTATATCTTTAACATTCATTGTATATTATCTTTATGGTGCTGACATTCTTCTCATCATGTTATTTTATGACTAACAGTATGTTTTTAGGTTTGACCATACTATTTGACATATCAGCAACTATTATCTTTTTTTTTAGTTAATCAGCCTACGAATGAATGTCCCTCTAATTGTTTTGCTAGTAGATCATAGTGAAACCTACAGACTACTTTCACACCCATTCTTCATCCATAGCTAACTTAATCCTATATAACTCAAACAAGCAATCATACTTTTTCATTCTCATTCTCTTACGTTGTATTTCTTCTACATTGCCCTTATTTTTTTAGCTGTCGTTATTTTCCATTTCATTCACATGTTAATCTTATTTTTTGTTTCCTCAAGCTCCTCACCTTAGAGTTTTTAATCACAATCATAAAACATTGATCTTTTCCAACATGTCTAGCCTATGAAATTAAAGCTTCTCTACTATAAAACACTTGCACAACATCGATCCACTTATTTCGTGTATACAAACTAATATTCTATGCCCTATCCCTTCCAATAACACTAAACCTCAAAAACATGATCTTAGCTCTTTCATAGTAAATGAATCTATGCAATAATATCTAGTACCTAAATTATCGGGTGATTGATCTCACTCAATCAATGTAGATTTCAAATTGATCTACATATCACAATATGTTAAAAAATTATAATTAGAAGAAATATATAGTTTTCATAAATTTATAATATGTTTTTAGAAATGGATTTATGAGAATATAATATAATTTGAAAATTATGTTGTATTCTTGAAAATGCATTTCTGAGAATATAACATAATTCTAGAAAATTCATTTCAGAAATTTATGTTGTGTTTTTGAAAATAAATTTTCGAAAATACATCATAAATTTCAAAAATGATTTTTCAAAAATATTTAATAATTTTTGAAAATCTATTTTCGAAAACTATTCTATATTCTAGGAAATGAATTTTTTAAAATGTTAAAATATTGGATTGAGATTTCATTACCTCGTTGAGCTCATCTCTTCCATTATTATTTCTCATTTCTGAATCTTTTTTTACTAAGTTTGTAAGATTAAATATAGGTTTCAAAATTTTGGTTTTAGTTTTAAAGATTTAGGGTTTAGTGAATGAGAAAAAAGGATGAAAGAGGATGAAGAATAAGGAAAAAAAAGGGAAAGAAGAAGAAAAATGTGGGTACATGGGGTATATGAGCATATTTTTATAATTTACGAATTAAAGGATAAAATTAGTATTTGCTTTGTGGATATTTTTGAAAGAAAATTTATGGAATATAAGGAGATGTTTTTGTGGTATATTTAGAACACCTCTTCCATTATTTCACAACTACAACATAATTTTCAAAGTAGAAAAATGAATACAAATAAAACTAGAGGCAAGTATATATACTGTATATCAATTTTTCCATCTCGAATTATTATAAAAAGGTATTTTAGTTAGAAAATCCTGAATAATTTTAAAATATTATTACTATGTTGAAATAAACTATGAGAAAGAAATGCACATATGTTATGCATGAATTAATTAAAATTCAACATGATTATATATTTAAAAGTATAAAAAGATGAATTTTAAATTCACAAATCCCTATAATTATTTCTAATTCACCGGTAAACAAATATTCAACAAATTCATAAATTTAAAAAAATAATCATGAAGATCACGATTTACATTAATTTTAAAACTCAAATCTCTTTTTTTTAATTTAAATTATCAAACGCAAGTTAAATTATTTTCAAGAATATAAGATGTCAGATGACATGATTACTACATATAAGAATGATGGTGTTGTTAATGTTATCCCTAAGATAGGCTTTTATTGAATCCAACTACATATACATTATAGTACAAATCTTATTCAAACCCTACATTATTTCTTAGCTAATCAGAATAATACAACAACATGAACAGACATAGAAAATGAACATATTATAACTACATAAAATTTAGCAGCAAATTAATGTGGAATCCTACTCCCTTTTTCAAGACATGGATTTTCTCCACTTGGGAGGAGTCCTACCCCGAACAAGCTTTGCTTTCATATCCATGGGCGTTTGCCTCGCAAAAGTATCCTCTCGTTCTCCTTCTTCAATTTTGTCAAAAACACTCATCGTACTCTTAAACGAAGGCATGATTCCAAGCTTCCTCCACCTGAAAAACCCTTTCTTCTTATCCAATATTTTCTCCATTTGCATTTGCATGGCAATGCATTGGCTTTGGACCCTGAGCAGGTCCTCTTTCAGCTTCTTTATCTCCATTTGTTGAGCATTCATTTCACGTTTAGACAGGCACCGAACTGGGGGTTCAAGTCCTGGGTTTGGACTCCTTGTTCCACTAAACGAGCCACTCCAATCTATATGTCGATTGAGCTTGGTTTGTTCGGAGAGTAGCACTTGAATTACAGCTCGAACAGGTAAACGTTCATTTTGAGCAGCGTGGAGGGATGCTTCTGGTGAGAGTTTTCGCCCGTCTATTAATCTGCAAAGAACCTTCCTTTCTTGCTTTGAGACACCAGGATGTGCCTGCCAACAATGTATAATGTTTTCTTAATTCAGGATTCCACAAGGTAAAACTTTGATCCAAGTATTCAACATCAAGACCTCAAGATGAAATTGAATTTCAACAATCGAAAACTAAAATATGAAATTAGAAGGTGTAATGTTGTTTAGTTTGCAAAATTGTACCACTTCAAACAAAGGTCATGTCAATTGAAATTGCAATTCAAACACATATTTTTATACAGAACACTACCAACTGAAGATAAGAGAAGAAATTATAAGTGCTGAAATTTGAATTACAGGCTTATTGAATACTATCTCTATAAATCAATTAAACTAAACTTTAATTCAATTCAAACAAAATTCCAATCTAGCACAAATTTGTGTACTAAAAATTTAAATTCAACTTACAAAGAATCATCCTAACACAAAAATTACATGATATCATCATGTTTGCAATTGATTTCAAAAGTGTAAACTAATACACTTATTATGAACTAAGAAAAAAAACAATGGAACAAATAACATGACTCATAATTTATAGTTGTTTTAAGTCGAGAGCCGACGATGTTTAAACACCAAATTGAAACTTCAAGAGGGAGTTTGGTTCGTAAAACAAGACAAGGTTATATAATGAATTAGAGGTATGAAATGGCTTGTACAATATATGACACGATACAATTTGATATGGTATACATCGTGTTTGGCATGATCTATTGTTAACTAATCGGGCTAGACTAAATATGATAAATATATTTGTCATGGTAAGTTAAAAAATTTTATGCACAACGATCAGCATAGTACTACATGTTAAGGACTAATGCCAGCATGTGGCACGTGAGCTTGCATGGCATAACACACATGCGTAATCATGCCATATTGGCCATAATTGCTATAAGTTTCTAGCTTTTGAGTATATTTATATTATTTTTTAAATTACAATTAAATTATATTTATTTTTGATATTTTGTTAGTAATTTATAAAATTAAATTATATTAAAATTACTTATTAAATATTTAAATTATTGATAAATAAATTATATTTAATTCGTTATTAGCAAAAATAAAATGACAAAAATAAATTAAGATTTCAAGTTAAGTATATATTCCATTTAACTAAGTAAATTATTATATGATGCAAAGTATAAAATAAACACACAAGACAACAAATTATATAAGTGAATCATCAGATGAAGAGAATGAAAATAAAATAATAATTTTATGGTTTACAATATCTTTTATATGTATATGTGTGTGTGTTTTTTTTAAATATTAAGATTGTAATTTCAATATTTTTATTTAGTAGACTCTATTACCCCTTTTTGGAGTTGTAGACATTTTGTCCAATCATACAAATTATATCATTTTTATTTTATTTTACTTTTATTTATCTTCTCATGTTATTTTTAATAATAAATGAATTTTTTAAAAAAATAATTAAAATTTTGAAAAACTACTAATGCATTGTGTTCGGCCCATTTCAACATGAAAAAACTGTCATGCCAACATGAAAGTTACAAATCATATGCCGTGCTAGGGTTTATCCTTAGCTTTCATAGATCGTACTATAACGACACGTTAAAAAAAATAATATGGCACGATCTACTAACACATAAAAAAATATTTAAATGAATTGTGTCGACCTATGATCCCTTTGACACCTCTAAATTGAACGACTCAAAGGCAATTTCAAGGGTACATTATTCAAACATACTTTTTAGGAGGCGAAACTCTATTGCGGATGGATTGGCTAAATCTGGGGTTTCCCGTACATGTAGTCGGGTGGCCCTAAATTGCGTGCCAAAACAGTTCCAATGATGGAAATGTATGTTTTATATTACATTATCTTTCACGAGATTACGGGACTAGACAACAGAAAATCCAACTCAAAGCGGTAAAGGGCATCCATGTAAATACAGAACCTTGGCCACCTAACACTAAAATTCTGATGAAGAATCTTTTGCTGGTGAGTATTCAGCAAACTCTATCTTTCTAAGGGCCCATATGGTCTTATTCAGTTATTCTATTCCTAATTTTTTGCTTGTCTGATTCGTTCCCCCACCATTTTGGGCCTAAATTTTTGGCAATTGCTGATCAGGATCAGATTCATACCAAAACCATTCATTAACACTTACAGAGTCAGCCAATTTTGGTATTAAGATCTGATCTAATCACTAATATCACAAACTTTGTCACAAATATGTTTTGAATATATAACTCATCTGATTTTTTTATGAAGTAAATCATAATTTAAGGATAGAGAAAAGAATTGTTAAGTAAATTTAAACCGTAAGCCTGAAATGTCACTTTGAGTTTAACTTCGGATTCAACTCATCTTATGCTTGAACTATGGATAATTTAAGCACTTGAATTTTACTTGTTGATATTGTATTTTGGACTTTGGACTTTGGACCAATCAGCAGCTTGGACTAGACTAGAAAGAATTGGAAATAATATGAACTTACTTTCAGGTAAGTGTCAATGGCACGGTACAGGCCATCATCCATGGCACGGGCATGGCTAGGAAGAGCTGCAGCAAGTGCAATAAACTCATCCAAACTCAAATTGGTGTCCAGAGCCGCTTCTGCTAAGTAGCAATCCACAAGCTTTGCTACTTTAACCAAGGCAACCCCACTTCTAGCTCCTTCATCCAGTCTAGCAAATCTCTTAACCAACCTTATAACAAGCTCGACATCTAACAGAGTTCCACAAGTGTGACTGAACGATGGAATCATGAGCTCTTTCAGTGAAGCTTGGTCAAGCTGCCATGAAATTCTATTCTCGAGCTCTGCTCTGTAGGTAGCCTCTACGCCGACCATGTTGGCTGTCCGGAGAAGGCGTAAGAGGAAGCTGCATGGAATGGAATCTCTCTCAGGAGGCAGAATTCCAACCAAGGTTTCCACAAAGAATCTCTTTTTCATCCATGAAGCCGTGACACTCTCGGGTGATGATTCTTCAAAATTCGTAGGACCCTTTTCGGTGCCGTCGCTGGATAGCTCAGGTAGCCATTTTGATGCATAATGTGCTATGATTGAGCCCGTTAAGTCAGGACGGACCCCCTTGGCCTTAATGCCTGAGATGGTCTTGACAAAGTAGTCCATATCCAGGATACAGGCATCGTCAAACCAGCATTCAGCCGTGTATTGGGTTGGTTTTCCTGGGAAAGTGATGGATTCTTGCAAGGCTAACTTCTTCATCATGCTTCAACAGTAGCAGAAGAGAGAATTGAAGGGAAGCAGTTTTATGTGGTGATGTAATTTGAGAAGAATGTAATGTTAGATATACCTGTTGAAGATGAAAGCAAACGTGTGAAGTAATTGGTCCTACGCTACATGGCCTTGAGTAGGATATGAAAACAAAACTGACTAAAATACCCTTGAATTTTTTGTTGGTTTGGGAGGAAAAGGAGAAGAGATAAGTGATTTAAATATCACCTTCGATTTTTATTTTTCTTTTAAAGAATACAGATTTTTAGCTGATGGGAAAAGTGATATTTGAGGATTGAGATTAAGGATTTCTTTTGCTGCCGTTGGGAGGCTGAGAAATGGAGATTTTGATGAAGATGGATAAGAGACAATAAAGACAAGTTTCTTTTTACCAAATAAAAAGAAAAAACGAAAGTTTCTTTAAAGCAAAATATTCCATCTCTAGTGACACCTCTTGGACCTATTCCCTAGTTCAGCCTAACGAGAACAAAGTTTATTAAATCACCACCTTACTGTGAAAGTGACCTGAAACTGATCTCTCTCTCTCTCTCCCATGGTGTTTTGGGATGCAGCTGGATCGGTACGCGCTCTACATGACATCAAAGTCTACAAAATCCGAAACTATCATCTCATTGTAAAGCATAGAATGAGTAATTTGTCTAATCAATTTGAAAAGCAACAGTCTCGAATTAAGAGATTTTGTTTTCAATGGCAGATGGGAAACCTGATAGAAAGAACTACTGCGACAAATCGTAATAGTTGGATATTTGGTGATGATGATCATGATTGTGAGGAAAGGTGCAGTCCAAAATCAATTTTTCATTGGGTCAATCAAAATGATTAAGCAGGCTAAATGAAGGGAAGGAGGAGGTCCAAAAGCAAAGAACCTTTTTGCGCAGAAATGCACATACGATGACATGCATGAGCTCAATACCAAACTGTCGTATAGCATCCTTTTGGACATGGTACGGTGCTCACGTGAACCTTGGTTTTTGCTTCGTTGATTCCCTAGAAGTTGAAAACTGCAGCTCTAGGCACGTAAAGCAATGCCTACAAGCCTTTCTCAGCCTTCTGTCGGCAGAACCGTCTAGGCCCTGAAAATTAATCTTGGGCCTAAGTCCTGCGTTTGTGATATTTCTATAGCCCCCTCCACCAGCCTTTCTCTGATAAGGCTCATAAAACCAGAAAATACGGGACACCATGTTTGAAGATAAGAAAGTGTTGATGAGTTGGACTGCTGAGAGCCTGCCTAGAATATCATGTACATGTCAAGCCAATTTAAAATGCTTATTCTCTCAGGTTAAGACTGGGTTTACGTTAAAAGGCTTTAGGGTGGTTCTCCCATCCAGAATCCGGAGAGTAAAGACAAATCATGCTCCGGAGATTGTGAAATGAATTATAGACGCTAAGATTTGAATTTGGCAGCTCTTAAAGACAACTACATAAACCAATTAATCTAAACGCCAGGTTCAGTACCATATGCAATTTTAATAAGCAATATTCAGAAAGAATTTAGATCAAAAAGGGGTTTTAATTGAAGTGAATCCAAACGGAATTCTACAGGATAGACATAAGTAAATAAATAAACAATAAGCTCAAGATGTGAGGAAAAGGTAGATTTAAAAGAAGAAGAAAAAAGATGCATTTTCGCTTTTAGCTATTATTCTATCTATTGATAAAGCAAATTCTAAAAGAAAAAGTCGCCTAGCACTGCTTCTTATCAGCTTCTCATTCTTCCTGTTCCACAACAAATGGAAGAATTATTTTCTAGATATTGCTTGGAGTTGATGTTTCAGATGGACTTCCAGTCGAGTCACCTGCTGCTGAGTTTAGTGATGAACCACTGGCAAGATAGCCATTTCCGCTTTCACTTGCACTTTCAGACACAATTGGGATCTTAACAGCTGCTCTTTCCATCTCCTTCTCAAGTTCTTCTTCCCTACGCAATTCAGTGAATTGGGTATCCAAAGAGTTGGCTGCTGATAGCCATGCAAGAACAATCACCAGAAGTATCCCTCCAAGGTACGGGGTTGAACTCGCAAGTGATCCAAAGGTCAAGATCATAAACTGCTGAATCAGAGCACCCCCTGATTTCCCCAGTGGATTGCAGACAACATCAATGGCAGCCTTCCCTTTAACCTATAGATAGCATCAAATAGGTTCTAGGTAAATGACCAAAAGTTATTCAAAATATTCCGAGGTTTCAAATTGTAAGTAAAGATTCCAACCTTGGTGTCCTCATCCAAAGGAATATATGCCATTTCTTTGCATGGATCAAATAAACTGTACTTTGCACTCTTGCTGAAAATGTTTTGCATAGCACCCACATATACAGCTGCAAGAAGAGGAGTCATGCCAAACTTTGCAAGAGCCGGTCCAAGTGGATCACCAAATAGTATCAAGGAAAAGAAGCCGACTCCTGTTAGAAGCAGGACAGTAGGTGTAATTCTTGCTGCAACCCCCCATCCGTATTTGTCAAATATAAATTGACTTAGTAGCATCATAGTGAAAGTCGCTATTCCAGTGGCAGTTGAGAAGTCACCCATGAAGGAGGAATATTCATTTGGGCTTGGAAACTGGAATATGGAGGGAGAATCATTAGTTAACAAGCATGTCAAGACTAAAAAAAAAACAAAACAAAAGAGGTGCAGAAAAGTAACCATATAATTTTACCTGAGCTTTGAGCTTTGATTTCCAGGTAACTTCAACAAGGTTGATGCTAATACCATACGCAACCACCAAAGTGGCAAGATCCCTAATGTACCTAGAAGATGCCAAGATTTTCAAGCTCTCTATTGTTCCCATTTTAGGCTTTTCCTGCAAACCGGTTGACAATAAAAAAACAAAAAAACACAGCTTCATATACGTTTTGACCTCACAACTTCACTCTGCATGCATATACAGTATAAGCATGGGGACTCTCCTATTTTTGAAATATACGCTTGCAGGCACAAATTATCCAAAAAAAAAAAAAGATATAGATGCAAGTAGAATTCTAGAATAGCTATTCATGCAGTCAAAGTAATTCTGGCTTGTCTGCTCAATACGAAGAACTTATGTGCCGTGTTAAGAAAAAAGGGGGCAATTGGTACCATGGTCCATCACAAACACAATGGCATGGAATGAAACCAACCAACCAGCTTAATGACTGAAAGTGACTGAATTATGAAAAGAACACTTTCACTCACAATTTAATAGTAATCACAAGACACTTAATGAAAAAACGTGTTTTTTTCCTTTTTACCTAAAATATCTCAGCAACTAAAAAAATTGTAATATCAATTGTAGAAATGAAACAAATAAACATTTGGAACCAAATAAAAAGATCCTGGATCTTAAGAATCTATGAAAAGAAAACAAATATGATAAACAAGAAGAATAGCTAGCCAACGGATTACCTTCTTCTTCTTGCTACGTGTGGGAAGAGGAACAAACTTATTCACCCACCAGTAAAGGAAGCAAATTGTAAGCCCCATCAGCACCACAATGCTCATCATGCCCTTTAAGGAGATGGCCCAACCATCAACTCCAGGACCCAGATTTTTCCTCAAATTAGAAAAGTACTTAACAGTTCGACCAGAGAAAATGAGGGCAATATTGGCTCCAAGTCCGAACAGAGGATAGAATCTTTTTGCTTCATCTACGGTAGTTATCTGCACAAGAATAATGCAACAGTAGGTAATACAGCTTTAATTCTCAAAATCGGGTGAAGACTTCAGAGATGCAACTAATGCAAAAAAACTGGAGAAAATGCACTAAATGAAAGCATAGAAAGACCAGCAATAGATCGCTGGTAAACATGTAAAGCAAATGCCAAAAACATGTTTGCTTGAATTCTGTACAAATGAACAAATACAAGGTGCAAATTCAAACAAGACATTGAAAGTTTAGATTTTAGAAGTAATATTCAATTATCTTCTTCTTCATTTCCCTTTCTCTTTTGCTTCATACATATGCACAGAGATGCTGGACGAAAGATGATCTCAACTATAGAATTACAACTCGACCATGATACAGAATATATGAGTATCCTATTCTCTCATGTATCTCTGGAAGTTTCTTTTCCAATTCCCTATAAGGTTTTGATTGCCAGCATTGGGAAACCAAGAATGGTACAGCAAGTAGAATTTTCAAATAAAAAAAAAAGAATAAGTTTACATCACGAACCACTCATCTATGAAACATAGCCAAGATAAGGTTATGTTTAGAAAACCTTCAAAGTTTCTAATCCATACCTTTTTTTCATTAAAAGATCAAACAGAAAGAACAATTTCCTAGGTTGGTAACATGGTAACATGTTAGAATATGGAGAAAGAACATGAATTTGAAGAGGAAAAAAGGAAAAAGAACTTCAACGACCACAACTTTGTCCAAATAAAATCAGCAAGCCTATTGTCCATAATCTGTTTCTATAAGCCAATGCCCAACTGTACAGTAAACAAAACATTTAGATCAACTTTTCTTGTCCGAATCAGTAAGCAAAGGTTACATAGCAGAACAAGCTTCCATCTCACCAAGAGTACGAAGGAGATTTAATAAAAACGACATTTAGAACATGTAATGATGTACAAAAAGAGAATTAATGGACAGATATATCACTTCCAAAATTCAATCCCATAAGATAATATAAATCACCTGATTGGCAAACCCCCAAAATAGAACAGAAATAACGACACTGCCCCAAAGTTCAGCCATGACATAGAACAAACAGAAACTCCAAATCCTCATAATTGCAAGAGGGCCAAGAAATCTTGGTCCAAGAACTGCAAGAAGCTTATCAGCAAGAGCTTCAGGGTGGATGTAATTGCTGAGAGGATACATCAGAAATCCAAATGCACCAAAAAAGGCTATAAAAGGAACAATAACAGTATAGAAAAGAGCCTTCTTTGACAACACATTAGCCAACTTTGTGTATAACAACATGAACCCAATAGCCATAGGCAAATTAACCCATGTCTTTAAAAATGGTATAATCTCTGCACTGCTTCCTTTAGCTGTCACAACCAAGACATCCTTTGTATCCCTAAGGATTGTATAATTGAAAAGGATACAAAAGAACATTAACCCAAGTGGTACAATCTTCTTAAGAGTCACAAGCTCAATACCCAAGAACTTTGGCTTCTCAGTTTCCCCAAACAGAGGCTGCCCATCAGATGCAGCAGCTGCCTCAGCCTTGCAAATAAAGTTCTTTTCTTTTGGGGATAAACCATTTGGTTTTGAAACAACGCTTGGAACTCTTTTATAAGATAGAGATAACCCATTAAGGCCTAAGGATTTTGAAGCAAAAAGCCTCTGCTTTAAGCCTTGTGATGGGTTCAAAAGGCTTCTGACTCTGGTTGGGTTTGGTGGCAATGAAAGAAGCCCTCTGGTTTGTAAAACAGCTTCCATGTCTCTCTTAAGGTTCCTTCAAAACAATTGAGAAATCAAATCAAAAAAAAAAAAAAGCTTTGATATTTGTTAGAACATAAGAGAGACCAAAAAATAAAGGAGAGGAAGGCAGAGAGAGATATGGTGGCTAGCTTGGCGTCTGGAGAAGATTGTTTTCTCAAAAGAAAGAAATGGGTGCTACAAAATCACCCTTTTTATATCAAATGAACATAAACCAAACCCTAAATAAATAAATAAATAAATAAAAACTAAAACTGTTTTTAATCAAAGTCAAAGATTTTTAAAGTTTACAAAGAGAGATTCTTTTTTTTCCAAAAGGACCATTAAGAAGAGATTAAAGGGGTGGCAGTGCGGTTAAATATAAAAACAAAATTTTGCAGTTTAGAAGAGAACACATGGAGACTACAGTGATTCACTGATTTATGAGAAACTGTGAAAAAGAAACAGGAAACAAAAAAACTGAAAAACAAGGAAAGTGAAGGAAGGGTAGATACATTCAAGGGAAGGAAAAGTATCCCAATGGGGAATCTTGCAAAAAGCAACCAACGGCCAAGGCCAAGAAGACCCAACCTATTTGCCATTTTTAATTAAAATATCAATTAAGGTATTTGCAAATTGGGGACATTTTCCACTTTTATTTTTCTTCATTAGCTTTGGGTTGGACCAGTTGAAGTCACCTCTTAAATATGAAGTTATGGTGTCAGCTAAATTCTCCACCTTTAGTGCAGAAAAAAAAAAAAAAAAACCTTTGGCAAACCTTGTGTATTATATCTGAGCATTTGGTAATGTATCTACTTAAATAATTGGGTTTGAAATTTATATCATTTCTTAATTTTTTTGGTAATGTATCTTTTCTTTTAATTGCTTATAATTATTAAAAATTAATACATTTATTATTAGGAAAATTTTTAAACTCCAATGTTGAAATTAGTAAGATAATATATATTAAAAATAAATAATTTAAATTATTAATCATAAACCAACGTATAATTGGACAAAATTCATATCTAATGGAACTTAAATCTAAGGGCTAACAGCGAACTAAATGCAGTAATCTTTTTCATATTATGTGTGTAATCTTTAGTTTAATGGCAAGAAAGAGATCTTAGAATATTGAGATCTCATGTTTAAGTGTTAACCATGTGTGAGTTTGATCCAATTTCATATTAGATTTGTCCAATAATATATTGGTTTATTAGTTGGTTTGTTTATATGTTTAATTCAATAATATTTGATTAAATTTATAATTTTGTTATATTCATAACTTCACTCATTTTTCTCCTATTATCTAAAATTATTTCAATACATTGCTAATGAAAATTTTAATTCCTTGAACGACAGTAAAAAATTTTGAAATGCTTTTAAAATTCAATTCAAAAGATTATATAACAATTACAAATTGATATGACTCAACTGATTTTTTTTTTTAATTCATGAAATGTTTCAGACTCAAAATCCCCATGAAGCCTATTGAAATTGAAGTGGGAATAATGTTTGTTCAAGATTGAGATAATTCACGAATGCACAGACAAACTCAATACTTACTTTGCAATGGTCTTTCGCTTCTAATTTACATGAGTCTTGGCTGTCACCTTCACATGCATGAGCTTACCTAAGCTAGCAGCCACCTACAAATCTGTTTTGGTTGATTGATATTGTATGATCAAACATCATTTTCAGGGAATTCATTTCAGTCTTCATCAAAGCTGTTTCCCCAAAAAACTCAAACATGGGTCATGGGCGTAACTTTCTTGTAAGCTTCAGAGTTCAACAGGAAGACAATGATTCCTTAGACCAAAATTCCCCACGTCAAAACAAGTGGCTTGCAGCTTAAATACGTTGTTTTTAGGAATAAATAACAAAATCCAAATTTTTTACTAAAAAACAAAGCAAAATTGGACATAGAAAACAAAAAGAATTAAAACAAGTAGTCTTTTAATTAAATATCCCTAGTCAATGTAATTAAAAATGCTTGGAAATCTTTGTTTTGAAATTCCTGTTTGATTTCTTGATCCAATTCCAAGGGGCTTCTTATTCAATTTAAAGAGATGGAAATTAATGAAAGTACTTTAGAAACTAAAAACAGGAGGAAAATAAGTTGGAAATTCATCAAAATATTTAAACGACACTAATCAAGGCGATATTTAAAGAAAATTTTTATAATTAATACATTATATTTTTTAATTTTATAAAAAATAATATATTAAATATATAAATCTTTTTAAATAATATTTTAAGTATTATTAATTAATATCTATAAATAACCATTAACTAAACCTTTAATATTAAAATAATAATATGATATATACATGTATATTTCAAAAGATAATAATAATAATAATAACAATAATAATATTTTTTTTGTTTAAGATCTTCAATATTGATAATTATTTTGGGTCTTGATTAATTCGAAATAGAATCGGATCAGATTTTATAAGAGAAACAAACTCTTTCAAACTTATTTTCTCTATTAATAAGATTTAAAATAAAATTTTACGTAAAAATATCAAATTTTTTATCATTCGGACCATCAAACGTTGTTAATAATAAAATAATAATAATAATAATAATAATAATATTATTATTATTATTATGATGTATATAAGATTATAAACTTGTAATTAATTATATTTTATAATTAAATTTTTAAAAATTTAATCATAAAAAATATCAATTAAAAATACATTTGTTGATTTTTTATAGTACAGTAATAATTGATTGATGCATAAAATAGGCAAAGGATTTGAAATTAATATTTTTTTATATCAAATGTATCTGACAAGAGATTTCATATATTCATTTGGTGGCAGAGTTGAGATTGTGCATGTATGCTGGTAAATTAGCCAGCTACGATTTTCTTGATGCCATGTTTTTAGAACAGTTTTCACAAGGCTCGGCTTCGTTGTCCCACCCCTAGTTCCAGAGCAGGCACAACAGTCCATAAACTTTTTTCTTTTCGGACATCCCGCCCCCGGGCCCCAAGGAATTTAAGTTTAATTTGCTTTCTCCGACGCTCAGCACCATGCTTCTTTTGGCAACTTCCGTCGACGGTGAGAAAGAAATTAAAAAATTAAAAAATTAATTTAAAATTATAATGTTTAGTTAAGATCAGATTAATTTTTTTGTTTAATTCAAATTAAATTTAAATATAAATATATATATTAAATTCAAATTAAATTTTAAATTAAGAGATAAAAAATAAAAAATAATCAACTATATATTTTAGTTTTTATATATATTTTAAATTTTTATAAAATAAAATTAATAATTTTATATCAAAATTAATTTAAATATATTAAAATTTTATATTAAAATAATATATAAAAATTAAAAAACGATAAATTGAATCGAATCGATAAAATTCAGTTCGATTCAATTCAAATTTAATAAAAATTTAATTTGAATTCAAATTAAATTTTAAAATTTTATAATATTATATAATATAAAAAAATTAAACTAATTGTTATCGCTCTTACTTTTATACCAAAAAAAATTTTTTATATTTAAAATTACCAAAATTTAAAATATATTGAAAATCCAAAAAATGACACTTTCTCCTTGACATTTTAATCTGTTAGTCAAATCGTTAATTATGTTTCGAGACTCATCGCCACATCCCAAAGATAGTTTGTAGAAGAAATATTTTTCCTGTTTTGTTTTTGTTCTGTTCTTCAAATTTGCAGGAGGATTTGCTGGGAATTTGATTCTTGTGGGCTGATGTTGGAGTCTGGAGATTTTTAGATTTCCATATCAAGCTTTATTAGTAATTGCATAATGTAATTACAAAAATAGTTGATTCCGTATATTGTATGTATCCATTGTTAACAGCTCAATTTTATAGTAAAAGGTTTTATTATGTCCAAAATTGCCATTTTGCCAACAACTTGCCTATAGCTTTCCCAAACAGCTTGCACAGAATCCATTTAGCCGAACAAATTTGACCTCAACCAAATGGTGCTTCTATCATTCAAGATTTCAGGTTAAAAGTAGATATTCAACCAAGGGTCCAAAACCATATGAAATCTGCCGATGTGATGGAGAGAGAAAAAAAAATCTATTCAAAGCAATGTGATTTGAATTAATTTTTTTATTAAATTTATATTAAATATATATTAAATTTTAAATAAAAAAATTAATTGAATTGAATTATATATTTTGCCAAACAGCTGGCCCAGAATCCATTTAGCCAAACAAATTTCACCTCAACCTAATGGTGCTTCTACCATTCAAGATTTCAGGTTAAAAGTAGACATGCAACCAATGGTCCAAAACCATATGAAATCTGCTCATGTGAAGGAGAGCGTTGAAAAAAAATTAAGAAAATTGATTTGAAATGGTAATGTTAGATTTTATTTGAATTAATTTTTTTATTTAGTTTATATTAAATTTACATATTAAATATATATTAAATTTAAATTAAATTTTAAATAAAAATTAAAAATTAAATAAATTAAATAAATTGAATTATATATTTGTTTATGTAATTTAAATATTTATAAAATAAAAATAATTATTTTATATATAAATTTATTTTAAAATATTTAAAATTATATTAAAATAAGATATAAAAAAATTAATTGAACTTCGATGTGATTTGAATTAATTTTTTGATTTAGTTTATATTAAATTTAGATATTAAACTTATATTAAATTTAAGTCAAATTTCAAATAAAAAATCAAAATTAAAAAATTAATTGAATTGAATTATATATTTTTATTAATTTTTATATGTAATTTAAATGTTTATAAAATAAAAATAATTATTTTATAAATAAATTTATTTAAAACTATATTAAAATAACATATAAAAAAATAAATTTTAAATACCAGTGAATCGAATTGAACCAATAAATTTTAATTCGGATTGAATGATTGGTTTATTAAAATTTGGATTTTTTTTTACATCCCTATGTATCGTATATCTTTATAAAGTTGGTTTAATTAAAAAATTAAAAAATAAAAGATAAAAAAAAACCAATGAGAATGACACATGAATATTTTAATTAGCTTTTTTTCAATAAATTTATTCAATAACAAATAAATACCAAAAATTAAAAAAATTAAAAATAAGAAAAAAAGCTCAAGCGAATGTCACATAAATACCTTATATTGAGTTTAAAATATTAATTTATTAAATTAAAATAAAAATAATTTTAATAATATAATATATATAAATGTATAAAATTAAATAAATAATAAAATATAAAATTTTATATATATCTTAAAATAATTCAAGATAAAACACCTTAAATATATTTTCAACATGAGGTTGTTTTTTTTTTTAAATTCAATTCATCTTAAGATATATTATTTGAAAATAAAATGATAAAATACTCATATGATCTGTCTCAAAGTAAAATATTATAAAAATATATAAATATTTAAAAAATAAATAAATATATTATAAAAATTTTAAAAGGAAAAAAATAACTTTACACATTACATAATCTCGATGAGAGAAAAAAGTTTAAAATTTAAAAAATATTTATTAAATAATAAAAAAACATATGACATATTTTAACTATCAAATAGATCTCATAAAAATAAATTAAAATTTTAGAAAAAAATAAAAATAAAAAATTGATATAAAGTAGGTTCCATTTTAAAAGATAAAATTTTTTTAAAATTTTTTTAAATATTAAAAAAAATTTGACACGCGACTTGAATTTTGATAATGTAGCATTATTATCAAAATTGAAGAATAAGATTATATTTTATTAAAAAATTAAATCAAATATAATCCAAATCGGAAACGGTGAATGGACGGATGATATCCTCCAAAAACATATTCCCAAACCCATGATTGCAGTCTGGGCGTAATCCCACATGCAAACGAGCGATGCTGCTCAATCCACGTGACTAAAAGGTTAGAAAAGGGTTGGCAAAGGCAAAAAATCATGCCTCGAGATTTGAGGCAGCGATGCCCAGTACACGTTAAGTGAAAACAGGACAGAAACGGTATTTTGTTGGGACACGTCAGGTTTTCTTTATAAGTATGGACCATGTTGTTGCTGTCTCCATTCTCATAATTAAAAAGGTTGTGGGCTGGTGACAGTACTTTTTGCACTTAGAAAACCGTTACGATTTTGCCATGTCATTTTCGTGGGCCCTATTTTCTTGTGTCCTGTGGGATTCTACCTACGTGGGCTATGGCTTTATTCAAACAATGTATCTATCATTTGATATTTTCATATGAGTTTGTTGAGTATCCATTTTGTGTTTGGCAAAAAAAAAAAAAAAGTTCAATTTGTACCTTAAACTTTAAATCATGTTTCATGTTAATCCAAAATTTAAGACCACTAATTCAACATGCCTATATGTGTGACATATGATTAGTATATATCACATAAATCGTCAACATTCCTTTCAATATTAATTAAAAAAATTAAATTTTTTTACTTGAATAATAAAATTTTTGTTCAAAATCAATCATTTATTGAATGTCCCATTACATACATATGACATGTAATATTTAAATTTTTTTTAACATGTGATATTCATATGATTCAATTATTATGGTTAAACTAGTTTTAAATCCATTCGATGCATGAAAATATATTCATATATTAATAAATTTTTTTAAATGATAATATAAACTATGAAATTTATGAACAACTCATAACTTATATAATTATTTTTATTTAAATTTATATATTTTAATATAATCAAATAAATTAATTACATATTGAATATATTTATGCACTTATCATCAGTTCTAAAAAAAACTCAAACTATAATTTATTAAATTCCAATAATCTCTAAACAAAAGACAATAATATTTTCGATTTCAAGCAATTAAAAATTTCATCATTAAAATCAATTTCG